TTCGTGCCACTGAAGCAACATTTTACTGATGACTTTCCGGTTTTCCATTTGTCTTTCATTCAGTTGATGTGGCACCCATTTTCCTTCCTTTAAAATCTTTCCCATTGCTTGTAAACCATCGGAAATTGTTTGCTGAGCAACGTTTAATCTTTCTGCAAGTTGTTTTTGAGTTTGACACGCATCTTCATCCAATAATGCTTGTAATTGCTGGTCTTCAAATTTTTTCGGTTGACCTGGACGTTCTTTCTCTTTCATATCGAAACCATCACTTTTAAAGCATTTAAACCAGCATTCACAAGTATCTTGAGATGGAGCATGTTCACCATAAGCTTCCCAAAGTATACGATAACTTTCAGCAGCACTTTTCTTCAAAATGAAGTAATGAATTAAAACTTCCTGCAAATGCTCTTTTTTTGGCATGAAATTTGACATGTTTAAGCATAAAAATATCTATGTTAATACCTTCAGAAAATTTGACATAGGAAGTTTTGAAGCTTGCTGTCAATACAACAAAATAGCACACATATCAAATTGCATATATATCAACATATGTGTAACTTCATCTATTGAAAAAATCTGCATTATTAACCTGTACACCTGGTATGTCGCTAAAAATTGCCAGCGTCCATCTCAGTTTAGCCAGGAGCGCCAAACACAGAATCATGTTCTCACGGTTGATGCTGGTGCATATGTCATAACACACACCAGAGGTGGCAGAGCCCGCTGAAGGCTGAGGGGTTTTGTACAGAGTTAGACCTTTCACTGGGCCTACGCTGCATGCAGTGAGGTCTCGGGAACATGAAGCACCAGGTCCAAGAAGAGACTCATGAATATGCGGCCCGACAGCCAAGAGGAGGCCTGGGGGCCTGACTTCCAATGAGCATTTTACCTGCAAGACCACAGAGCCACGTGGTGGCGGTTACAGGGCTGGTGGAGCTCTGCCACCAAGGTCCCTTATGGCCCATGGACCTCACAGCACATTCAATTCTTCTGCGCTGTTTCCTTAAAATGGCCCCCCAATGGTTAGGCTTTGTACCCACAACATTCAGATGCCCCCTCATGTCCATAAACACCAAAAAAGGTGAAGGGAGATTAATTTGGGGCATTTACAGTCCCTCAGAAGCACTTCCACATATGGACGTGGGGCCGAGGGTCCTCTCCAGGCCCTGCACTGTGGAGGGAGGCCTTGGCCACCAGGACCAGCAGCTCTGGGGACAGACGTGTGGGAGAAGAAGGGGGCTCCCTCAGCCAGAGCTGTTTATGACATGACACCCTACCTACCATGCCCTAGGAATATGACTACCAACATGTGTCACCTGAACATCCAGAACCCACAGCCAGCCTGCCTGGGAGGGCCATGTCTCCCTCTCTCCATCAGATATGCAGCTCATCCCATGCTCTCGGTCTCAGCCAACACCCACCAGCCATCCTGGCAGAAGCCTGAGTGTCATCCAAGGGCCTTCCCTGCTTCTGCAGCCCTTCCTGGTCCGCCCCTACCCCTGTGCAAAGCAGTGGGCCCTGCCTTCTGCCCTGCCCCAGCCTATCTGCCACCGAATCCCCACTGCAGCCCCTGTGACAAACAGCAGATACTTATCCTGGGCGGCCATGTAGGACCCCCTCCCTCACCTTCACGGGCTTAAAAAGCAGTAGTGATGCTCCAGCAAAGGCTCCAGCTGGTGCCCCTGGGCAGCCCTGTGCCCCTTGCAACAGGGAATCAAGCTTGCATCCTCAGCCACGTGGGATTTAGAGCAGCGCTGGAACTAGGCCACGGCTGGAGCAATGTTAGCTGATCACTAATTACTGCTTCTCTCTCCAGTGCTCTCTGTGCTCCAATCTCTCCCCGTTATTCCAACCCCCAGAGCTGGGAGCCCACAGTCCCACAGCTTCCTGGGCCTCAAGCCCTGCTCACTGCAGGAAGCCTCGCAGCTCCTGGCAAGGACTGCCTGGCCCTCCCTGTGTCCCTCCCCTCCTCTCTCCCACCACCGTGCCACAGTGTTGCGCCCCGAATGTCCCGCAGCTCCTCAGCTTCTCATGCCCCTGAGCGCGCTTGGCTGGCACCTCGGCCTGTCCTTGCTCCGTTGTGCTGTTCACCCCAAGGATCACATCAGGGGACACTCAGGTCTTCTCCGACCTCAAGCAGGCTCACTGCCCACTTTCTGGGTTTTTCAGGCGCCCATGCAGACATGACTGATGATGGCCTGGTGGTGGGAGCCTGCGCCTGCCCACAGGCATTCCCACTAGGAGGGCACTGAGGAACCAAGTGCCTGCAGTGGCAGGGGAGGCTCCTGAAGATGGGCAGGGAGGTCAGGAGGCTGGGTGTTGCGTGGGCCTGTCCTGAAGCAGCCCTGCTGGCTCAGGTGGCCGAGGTAGGACCAGAATAGGTCTGAGCCCTTGGCCTCTCTGCATCGGGCACCCAGTTTCCCTCTTGTCCTTAACAACAGAACTGCGTTCTCTCACAGTCTGGAGGAAGAACTCTGTAACCAAGGTGTGGTCACTACACGTCTCTGGGTATGTGTGGGGGGTCCTTCCTGCCTCCTCCAGCTCCTGGTGGCCCAGGCCTTCCTCGGCTTGTTGCCACCTGCCTCCCTGTGCACGTGGCTTCTTCTCTGCCCTCCTCTTATGAGGACACCAGTGAGAGTGGATGAAGGGCCCACCCCTGATGTCCTCCTCCCTCTCGCCCAATCCTGTTGAGAAAGGTCTCAGATCAAAATATTTTATAATTACCGCGACCTATTTTCCCTTTGGGATCCAGGAGCATTTTAACAGGGTGATTGGAATCCCGGGTGTGCAAAAGGACCTTTTGGGCACAATT